CCTGGGTGCCTGGGTGACCCATAGCCATGGATGCCGGCGCGATCCGGTGTGCACGCTCGTGGTGGGAGGTGGAACGAGAGGTTGGAACGCTAGGTTTCCGTGGTCCTGGAACATTTTCTCTAGGAGTGGTATGAGGCAGAGACCCTGGCCTTTATTCCAGAAAGGCACCGGGCCAAGGGGAGCAGCTGCGAGGTTACAGTGGGAGACCACCTGCCTGCGAGCAAGCGAGCGGGGCGGCGGGGGGGAGCGGCAGAGGGGATGACAACGTCACCAGGCTAAGTACGTCAGAGCCTGCTTCACGGCAAGGCCGTTCCTTTGTGCAAGGGGAGTAGGCACCGTGTGATCTAAAGGACACCTCAAGGCAGCCACCGCCCCTCCCATGATAGTCCTGCCACCTTTCCACCCTTTGGAGCTAAAGCAAAAACCCCCAGGTAGTTAAGGGGAGATTTTCCCAGAACAACCCATTGAACCAGTGTGTCACTCTGGACTGGGCAGAGGCATGAGGAACGAGACAGGAAGAAAGAGGAAAGTACTGGAGTCGGCCACTTTAGGGATCCCACCGTGGGGAGTCTGCACAGTGGCTGCACACCGGGCCCTCACATTTGGAAAGCATTTTTCTGTCACATGTATATATGGAAGCATTAATTAGACTTTTGTGACAGGTGCCAGGTAGACAAAGACAGGGCCTCTGCCCTTAAAGAGAATAAACAAAGAGACTGATTAATGTAATCAGTGCCATGATGGAGACTCGTACAGAGGACTATGGGGGCCCGGGGAAAACTCTCCGCGTGCCTTAAGGGTATGGGATTGGTGCCTGTAACAGGAGTTTTGTGCGATGAGCCTCTCTTTTCCTTCTACCATTCCTGCTCCTCAGAGCTCTATAAGGGGTGAACAAATGACCAAAGAAAGCCCTAATTCCTCCCTACATGGTCACTTCTCCATAGTATACATCTCTGTTCAGCTGGGGCTTTGCAGGCTTCCAGACCCCTCACTGTAGAATAGTCCTCTCCGGCCCTGGGAAAGTTGGCATCCCTTTGTCTGAGGGCCTTCACACTCAGAACCTGCTCGTGTCCAACCAGACAGGCTTGTCTTCCTCTTCCATACCCACAGCTCCCCACCCACGATGCTCCAGACCATGCAAAGGGCCTTTGCTTAGGAAGCTTCAAACCTCTTTCTGGTTCACACCTTCCCCCTAGCCCAACCAGGGGCTCCCACTCATTCCTGGCTTCCAGCCTCAAAGCCCACCCCGTCCACAGCTGCATGGAAAGGTGGTCAGCACAGTGGGCGGCCCAGCCCTTCCCGGTGCAGGAAGGAAGGCTGCACCCACCTCTGGGCATTTGGTGGTGACTCACCCAAAGGAGTCCACTCCCCCACACCGGACACAGGAAGGACAAAAGTCCTTCCATTACAGGGACTCAGCTCAAAACCTCAAACCATAGGGGCCATCGCCATCTTCAGCCAGCAGGCTCTTTCCAGACTCTGCTACCTGTCTGTCCTCCACCACAGTAAGTGTCTTCCAATATCTTGAGAGCACCAAGACCTTGTGCATGGATTTATTTTCCTGTGGAAACTTCTTCCCCTGGTTACCTCCTAGTCATCCCTCCTTGCAACCTCCAACTGACCACTTATGGGCTCCCCTAGCACCTGAACTTAACCTCTCTCAAGAAACTTCTCCCTTAGCATGGTGATTCCCAATATATGTAATTGGATCCCCCGAAGATTGTAAGTTCCTTGAGGGCCAGTTTCTTGTCCTTTTCAAGATGGTTTCCTCAGTGCTTTGCACCCTCATGGTAGGCACTTCATACATGAAGAAATGAAAACTGTGATATACAAACAGTATGAATTATTATTCTTTAAAACTGGCGGGGCCGAGGTGGTAAGGGTACAAGTATTTAGTTCCTCTCTTGATTTTCTTTACCAGCCACCGTCCAGCCTAAAACAGTAGTTTGCGCCATGTGGCCCCAGACAAGCGGCACCTGGGAACTTCCTAGAAACAAATTCTTGGTTCCATCCCAGACCTGCTGATTCAGACACTCAGGGCATTGGGCTCATCAGCCTATGATATAACAAGCCCCCCAAGTGATTCTGATGCATGCTCAAGTTTGAGAACCACTGTTCCAGCCCTAAGGCCAAGCTTGGGGTCATAACATTCAACCATGTAAATATTAAAAATTAGAAGAATTTTGCATGAAATCAAGATTTTCAGCAAACCAAACACTCCTACATCCTCGTTTCCCCATCTTTTTATAGCAGTTGTTATAGGTCAGCAGCACACACAGCAAGAAGTCCCATTCAATGGATGGGAACAGTAAGGCTGGGAAAAAAAAAAAACACTTTCTCAAATGATAAAATTAAAACAGGCAGAGTCAATGCAGGAATCTGGCCCAATGCTCTTTGTACAGCAACACAAAGTCATTCAAAGTCAGTACAATAAAATAAAGCACTAGATAATTTATAGTTTAAGGGTCAGAGGTATGAGTACCCCTTTCCCTTCACACTGATGCTGGATGATCTAATAAATAAGGTTTCAAGGAGGGTTCCTGAGGGCTTGGGTCTCTAAGGATCCTGATCAGTCCTTCAGGAAGATTTTGGACAATAGCCCACATAGCTTTTTCAATAGAGAGACAGACAGGGTTGGTTTTTTTTTTTTTTAAGGCACAATACCCAATTCAGGTCACCCCAAAAATGGTGCTTGGTTTTTTAAACCTGCTACCTTTCTAGGGATGAAGAACTCCACCTGTAGGAAACCTTGCTTCCAGATATAGAGGTCCTAGCACAAACACCTGAGGCTTGGTGGTTGAGGTGGCAGCCTAAGTTCTGGAAAATGGGGACAAAGCTGGCGGGTCTCAAGGTCTTGTCTGCGTTTGGGTGGCTGTCTGGCGCCCCCTTGTGTTCAGTGTCTGGACCCAAAGAGCCAAAAGACCACGAGGATGGAGTGAGGGTCAAATGGCTAAGTCATTCTCCAAGGATGGCCTGTGGCCGTGAGAAGCCAGTGGAAGGGGCTCAGAAGTGAGCCATCTGGGATGTCCTCTCAGCCCTTGTGGAAAAGCACTCGCTGGGACAAGCTGTATGGGACAGTGGAAATTGTGTCCAAGCTCACCCAATTGCCTCCACCACAGAGATGGATCACTGTGTCCCTCCTGCTGGGTATTTGGCCAGCAGGCTTGTTCCTCCTGACTTAGTGCCCAGGCCAGAGACTTACAGCCTCTTTTTTTCTTTTAAGAGAAATTGACTGTTCTGCCGAAGCCAGCTTGGGCCCCCGAGGAGACATGGCAAGGCAGTTCTGAATGTGCTAAGTCCGTGGGCAGTAATGGGCACTGTGTGCCCAGCAGAGGCACTTCCCACCCTCGGCCATAAAGAGTCCTTAACGGGCTCACACGGAAGGCTCGGGGCTGGCTCTTCCTCCTCGCCTACCCCCTCCCCCTGACTCTTACCCCTCGAGCTCTACCATCCCAGCCAGATCACCAAATCATGCCCTCGTATGAAAAGGTGTCCTTCATGCCCAGATCATGGCACCTTCAGCACAGGCTGCAGGGCCAAGGTTCCAGGGTTGGTTCTGGCCATAGAACAGGGCTCAACCCAAGAAGCACTGATGGAAGCCTTAATCCTTGGCCAGAGCCTGGCAGCGCCTCATACAGGCTGAGTCACGTAAGTCATGGAAAGCAGGTCACTCACACCCTCCAAGCCCCAGTCTCTTCATCAACAACAGGGCGATCTTAGCCCCAGAATGAGCCCAGCCTGGGTCACCAGATTTGCAAGATTTGAGAAGGTTGGTAAATCTAACGGGCAAGCACCTTCTTGCCTCTAAGCCTTCGCACATGCTGTTCCCACTGCCTGGAACAGTTTTCTCCCTTCCCTCCTTCCCTTGGTGAACACCTCTTTACCTTCAGTCAAAGTGTAGACTTCTCCAGGAACCCTTCTAGAGTCCCTAAGCCTGGGCTTGGTCCCCACCAGTGGTCCCCATAACCCCCTACTTGGCCCTGGCCCCAGCAGTGGTCACGTGGTCAGGTGATTGGCTGTTTGTTCATCTGGGCCCTCACTTTAGTAAACCCCATGAGACAAGAACAGAGATCACACCCGCCTTATTCACCTGGGCACCTGCAGGACCTGGTAGATTGCCTGGCACATGTAGGCACTCAGTACATACATGCTTGACTAGGTAGCTGGGCTCAGAATGAAACACAGGCTGGGGCCAGGGGGCAGAGGGCAAGGCAGCAAGGCAGCTAAGGAACATGCACACATATCCACGGCACGTCCGTGTTCTGCACAACAGCTTGCAGCCCACCATGTCATGTCCCTGGAACCTCTGCGAACGCGTGCCAGGGAGATCTCTGCCCGCCCTTGTAGTGCTCTGGCCTGTTAGAGAGAGAAGCCATGGGATCACTAGGGCTGGGAGCCCACGGACAAGGCCTGGGCCCAATCTGCCTCAGCTCAACCACAGAAGCTCTGCTTTTGTTTGTTTGTGTTTGTGTTTCTCAATGCACTTGTGCTGATAAAATCTGGCTCTGTGTTAAGAAGAAAGACAAAGACAAACGTAAAGACCGCTGGTTTAGTCTATGCCCTCGTTCTATAGATAAGAAAAGGAGAGCCAGAGAGGAGAGGGGACATTCACCAGCATCACACAGCTCAGCATCAGAGTAGGAAGACCCTGCACCTCCAACTCTTTATGTACTTTTTGGAGGGAAGGAAGAAGGTGGGGAGTTAGTTGTTATTCAGAGTGAAGGGCTGAAGGTCTGAGAGGAGACTGAGCAGGCCCAAGCGGTCCCCAGATTGCAGTGTGTCCCTCCCGCATCATATGTGACCCTCCCCAACGGGAGCTAGCCTCCCTCTGCAATGGGGGAGACGAGGCGGTCCATCAGCAGGAGCACCAGAGGGCACGATGGTGAGAGTTCACACGCACACCGTCGCGCATGCACACCGCACCCACACTCAAGGGCTAATTCCTACCCCCCTGCCCTGCCCGGCCCTGATAGCTGTTCCTGGGACTACTGTCTTCTTAGGCCACGGAGGGCTGAACCAGCTGGGAGGGGCCTTTGTGAACGGCAGACCCCTGCCTGAAGTGGTGCGTCAACGCATCGTGGACCTGGCCCACCAGGGCGTGCGGCCCTGTGACATCTCCCGCCAGCTCCGAGTCAGCCATGGCTGTGTCAGCAAGATCCTTGGCAGGTAAGCACGAAATTCACCACGTGCCACCTTCCCTGCAGGGCTTGCCTGGAGCAGCCCACCTGGCAGCCACGCCCCTGCCCCCGGGGCACTCGGTCTTTCAGATGTCCAGCTTCCGTCCCCCCGTGGTGCTTCCGGGCCTCCCCGCCCACTGCTCTTCTGTTATTTTCCTGTCATTTCTTCCTTCTTTGTCCATTTCTCCTTCCTTTCATTTCTCCCTCTCGCTTTTCTCCTTTGCCCCATCTCTCATTTTTAGGGGCTTCTCTACTCCTAAAGCAGAAGAATCTTCCCCAAAGCACCCCACCTCCACCCTGGCTGAGATCGAGGGAAATGGAGCCACTAGGAAGGAGACACAAGATCAGAGGTGGCTCCTGCAGTCTAACCCCCCGCATGAGGGATGTCTGAGTGTGCTTCTCAAAATTAATTCCCAGAGCACCTGCCACAGAAGCACCAGGGTTCCTTGATGAGATGTAGATCCTTAAGGCCTGGTCCAGACCTACATATAAATCACAGCATCCCCTCCGGGAGCCAGGCCTGGGTGCTGTGATTTTTAGGAGATGACCATGTACCAGTCATGAACACTCACTCCAGAGCAGTGGTTCATCACCCTGGCTGCACATTAGAGTCACTTAGGGAAACTTAATTTAAAAAAAGAATTATGTCTAGGCCGCAGCCCACACCCACTAAAGCAGAACTTTAGGAGAACGGGCCCAAGTTTTTGTATAGTGTTAAGGCTCCTTCAAGGGATTCCAATTTTCTGTAGCCAGAGTTGAGGACCACTGACCCAAAGGTTCAGGAAGGACCAGGAGCAGCAAAGCCCTGCGTCTGGGCTGACACAGCACAGTCTGGATAGCCACTCTCCAAATGCCCCTGCCCTGGGGGACTGGGGGCTTGGCATCGGCTCAGTGCACCTGTCTCCCTCACCCAGGTCACAGGTGGGTTCAGCAGGAGTTCTGGTTTAAAGAGGCAAAGGGACCTGACTGTAGCTGAACTGCGGAGAGTCCTGGCTTCCTGACTAAAGTTGCCAATGGCAAGGGCACTCCCTGGTTCGGGTCAGGAGAGAGGCTCCCAAGATGGGCTGCAGTGTCCCCGAGAGCTGAGCCCGGGATGGCTATGACAGACAAGCAGAGTTTTGTTTTTTTTTTTAAAGATTTTATTTATTTATTTGAGAGAGAGAGAGAATGAGAGACAGAGAGCACGAGAGGGAAGAGGGCAGAGGGGGAAGCAGACCCCCCGCTGAGCAGGGAGCCCGATGCGGGACTCGATCCCGGGACTCCAGGATCATGACCTGAGCCGAAGGCAGTCGCCCAACCAACTGAGCCACCCAGGCGCCCAGACCAGCAGAGTTTTAAAGAACCAGACTTTATTCTGTGGTAGAGGAGACCAGAGAGTTTCCACCACAAAGAGGGGAAAGCTATCCTGACGTAAGTCACGGATCTACCAAAGCAGCTGGCTGGGGGCGCGGGGGAGAGGAAAAGTGGACAGCTTGGGACAGCAGGCTTGGCTTAAGGGGTCAGACATGGCCAGGGATCCAGGCCAGGCTAGCATTCCAGAGTCCAGGAAGAATAGCTTCCACCTGAACCATGTAATCTGGTAGAAAACCAGTGGCCAGCTGGGAGGTGGTGGCTGGGGGAGAAGGTAGGGGAGCAAAGGTGAACCAGTAAGACAGAGCAGAGGGCCCAACCATCCAAACTAGCTTCCTGGGAAGGGGTAAAGCCAGGATGGCCAAGAACGGTGAGTCAAGCTTTAACCCCGGAAAGCGGCGTAGAGAAACCCACCACTGTGAACCTATATGTACACACGGAGCAAACGTACTCATGCAAGGGAAACAGACAGTGCCAAGAACATCAAGTGTCTGAGGCCAGCCCTGGGGGTGCATTTTACCCCCTGAAGCCTTAGAGAGGAACAAGAGTCTCTGGCTAAGTCCCTGCCCAAAGACCCCACCTGCTTATTGGGTAATTCTTTGGGGTTCTCTATTGGAGTAGGTACTACGAGACCGGCAGCATCCGGCCTGGAGTGATAGGGGGCTCCAAGCCCAAGGTGGCCACCCCCAAGGTGGTGGAGAAGATTGGAGACTATAAGCGGCAGAACCCCACCATGTTTGCCTGGGAGATCCGAGACCGGCTCCTGGCGGAGGGTGTCTGTGACAATGACACTGTGCCCAGTGTCAGCTCCATCAACAGGTGAGAGGGACTCAGCAGCCAGGGTGGGGGGGGCACCTGGGCTTTGGGGGAACCATGACGGAGACCCAAAGAAGGGCCTGGCTTGGGTGGAACAGAACCTAGGAGGGGGCCTCCTGCTGAAGAATTAAGCAGGAAGCACCCCAGGTGCCGTGGGGCAGGTATCACACCTCCCCACTGCTCTGCGACACTCCCGCCCCCACCCCACCCCACCCCACCCGACCCCGGGTTGTACTTCTCCAGTTTCCTTCCTCACACGCTATATCCTCTTTCATTCAATAAAAGAAACTCGAAGTGACCCTTTCCTGGGCCACACGACCCCTAACCTGGCCCTCATTCAAGCATTCACTCAATTGTTTGGTCTTTCAATTATTCACTCACAGCCTCAATCAATCATTTACTCACTCATTCATTCCTATATACGTAATTCACTCATAATGTGCTAGGCCCTGGGAACACACAGTCCTTGTCCTTGTGGAGCTTATAGTCTAGTGAGAAGATAGACACTAATCAAGTACTAATCAAGTGCCCACACACACAATTGTAAAAATGCAGCTCTAAGTCCTCCTAAGGAGAGGAACATGAGGTATGTGAGTTAGCATAGGGTGCTTGGTTTAGGAAGGAATGAAAAGATGTCCCTAAGTAAGAAACAATGAATAAGAGTTAACTAGGTGAAAAGGGGAGCCAAAGGAGCTTGGAGACAGCATATGCAAAGGCCCTGTGGCTCATAGATCTTAGACAAGAAGCTGAAAGCAAGCCAGCAGATAGAAGGGGAGCACGAGGTAGGTGAGGTGGAAATGTCAGCAAAAACTGCCCTTTAGAGGCTGGTGGCCATGTCACATATTCTTGCCTGTGACCTATAAGAAACTTGGCAGACTGTAAGCAGGAGGCTGACTTGCATTTCAAAAAGTCCACTCTGGTTACAATAGGGAGAATAGATTAGAAAGGGTCAAGAGCAGATAGGGGTGGGCCAGTGAGTGATCCCGGGTGGGGAGGGGGTGGAGAGAGCTGGTGGTGGCTTGCATTATGTTGCTGACAGTGACATGCAGAGAGGAGTCGATGCTGGAGAGGTTTACAAGGTCAAACCCACAGAACCTCATGATGGCTTTGATGGGGGGAGGGGAGGCAGATGTAAAGCTCCACCTATATTTCCACCTTGAGTGACCAGTGGAACTGATCACGAAACAGAACACTGGGAAGGACCAGGTGTGAGGAGTGAGGTCAGGGGTTTGATTTTAGACAGGCTGTACTCGAGGTGCCTCTAAGATACCCAAGTGAGCTCTCAAAAAGGCACAGGATCCAGGGCCGCGTGAGTCCTATTTCCTCCTCTTCTCTCTAATAGCCCTTCTCATCTTCCTTACAGAATCATCCGGACCAAAGTACAGCAACCGTTCAACCTCCCCATGGACAGCTGCGTGGCCACCAAGTCCCTGAGCCCAGGACATACGCTGAGTGAGTGCTGATGTGCTGGCAGGCTCAACGTCGCACACGCACACCCACACCCACCTGCAAACCCGTAGTCACACACACGCCCACACAGACACACCCCCGGCGTGGACTGAGCCCTTCTGCAGGGACAAAGCCTCGCTGGGTCCCAGGAAAGATGCACTGACATACTTAGGGGTGGCGACACTTCAGGCAGCCTCGACTCCAAGATACCCTCCTGCCAGTGGGCTCTGACGGGTGTCCCCTGCACATGCTGACCCTCTCCCTCTCATCCCACCGCAGTCCCCAGCTCAGCCGTAACGCCCCCAGAGTCACCCCAGTCAGACTCTCTGGGCTCCACCTACTCCATCAACGGGCTCCTGGGGATCGCTCAGCCTGGCAGCGACAGCAAGAGGAAAATGGACGACAGTGAGTGTTGGGGAACCAGAGGGCAGGTTGGGGGTGCAGGAGGGCAGTCTGCTCAGGCTCCAGGGGACTGGGGGCTCCGGACTTTGCAGGTGCCGGCGACTCCCACCTACAGCCCATGGCCTGCCCTAAGCTGGCCACAGTCGCCCGGCCCGGAGCCGGATCCTTCCCGTCCCTCTGCAGCCCGAGTCTGCCCCTCCACTCTGGCCTGGGGCAGGGGTAGCTGGGTCCCCTGAAAGCTTTCTCCCCACCTGGGGATGCCAGGTGACCAGGACAGCTGCCGGCTGAGTATCGACTCCCAGGGCAGCAGCAGCGGGCCCCGCAAGCACCTGCGCACAGACGCCTTCAGCCAGCACCACCTTGAGCCGCTCGAGTGCCCATTCGAGAGGCAGCACTACCCGGAGGCCTACGCCTCCCCGAGCCACACCAAAGGCGAGCAGGTGAGCAGCCAGGTGAGCCCTGGAGCAGTGGTGGGCAGGGGCCCAGCAAAGCACCGTCTCTGGAAAACTCCTAGTCAGCCTGCAGTCTTGCCACCAAAGCAACTAGAAGCTGTGCCAGTGGGCTCAGGGTGCATGCTGCATGCAGCTCCAAGCTGACACAGACTTTCTTTTACCAGATGCGGGCACCTTCCTCCTCTCCCCAGCCCTCTTGCCTTCCGTCACCCTTAGCCTCTGAGCTCCGCCCTTTCTGGAAGAGCACCACACCCAGGCCGTGCCATCCCTCTGTCCTCTGGGGCTTTCCCAGACCGCAGCGTCAGGTCCCACAGCTCTGAAGTGGCTGCTCAAAGCCTTACACCATGACCTCGACCAGCACCTCCAGCCTACCTCTGGCCGCTCACACCTGCACACCACTGATCTGCATTACTCACGCTCGCGAGCATGTCATGCTCGTTCACACCCCTCTGCACTGGCACGCTGCATGCCCGCCCTGCAGAGCACCTTGCCTTCCACCTTTCTGCCTGGAAAAGTACCGCTTGGCCATTCTGACTGAGCTCAAGCATCACTTACCCATGAATCATGCCCTGCCCCTCAGACATGCTTCATCTCTCCCTCGTCTGTGCTTCTGCCCGTCCAACACGCCACTCCAGTAACTTCTCACGGCGTACTCTAATTGTCCAGCGGGCAGGGGTGTAGGCAGTGGGTTTCATAAGGCAGGGCAGCATCTTGAAGCATCTTTTTTTTTTTTATCTCTGGCACCAACAAGGTGCCCCTCTTAGAATAGATACTCAGTAAAGGTGTATTGGTGAGTGAGCTGAGAAATCCAGAACAATAACTTGCAAGTTACAGGGGAGTTTTTATTTCTAGTGCTCAGGATGGGTGAAATGGTTTACAGTGGGTCAGCTTCTGGGAAAAGCTAACAGAGATGTCACTGGTCTCCCCTCACCGAGCCCAGCAGAGACTCCACAACTCTGACAGAACTTCCAGGACCGTTGTTCCCTCCGTTCACACGCATCTGTCCCCAGTAGCCGTGGCTTCCACCCCCCCATCCCAGCTGAGGAATTCCCTTAGGGTGGCTCTGCTCACCCCACTTTGCTCACGCTGTCGTTTGATCCAGGAGTGAGGCAAGCCTTACGCCTTGAAAGTCTGAGCAGGACAAAGTGGACGATGCCAGTAAGCAGCTGAACTGTCGCCAGGCACCGTCTGGGCTGCTGGGCCCACGCCAGCTCCGCAGCTGGGCAGGCAATCTGCGTCAGCGATTTTATCAGCCTGGGCCGCGGCCACCACGAGGGGGTGCAGAGAAAGCTGGCCGTCAGCAGACCTGGGGAGAGGACCCGGGTGCTCATCTGAGAGGCAGCACATGGCTCCCGGAGGGAAGTGGGGCCGCAGCTGTGGGCTCGCTCACAGGGAGCCCACTCTGTGTGCAAGCCCCTGCCGTCCTGCAGAAACCCTGCTGCTGAGATGCTGAGCACCCGCTGGGTCCCAGGGCCATCTTCTGGCTCCATGGCTGAGCCCCCAGCGGGCCCTGCCTGATGACAGGGAGACCGAGACCAGCACCAAGCTGGCCCACGCGCATGGGAACCGTGGTCTTAGAGAGTCTTAGAGCCACAGGGACCTCGGGGACCAGGGAGACCAGTCTTTGCATTTGTGTTTCGATAACCCAGGGCCAGGGAAGGTAGACAGAGCCTGGGGGAGCGAACGGTTGTGGAGCTCAGGTCTGCCGGCCCTGGTTTCATTCAGAATGGCCCACTGGCACCCTGTTTTTAGATACGATGCTTCTATGTCAGTTCTTACTCGAAGGCTGGAGAAACAGAGAGGCTCAGCAGTGTCCATCCATGATTCATTCCTCCCGCAGTCAGTCTTCTACTTGCTCATTCATTCACCTGGCTGGGTGGTGAGGGGCAGGGAGCATCCAGCCTGTGCTGAGGGCTCCTTGGGTCTGAGCCCCTGCCTTTCCTGGCCTTGGTGACTCGGACTGTGCCGTCGAAGGACACTGTGTGCTCTCGCCTGGGCCCAGGAAGGCCCTCTGGCCTGGGGAGCCGAGAGAGAGAAGCCCAGGTCCGCACACCCGACCTCAGGATCGGGGGATGGCACAATCATCTTTCCTGTAAGATCAACAAGGGGGAAGCATTCAACGGAAACGCCATGTGGCCTCACTCCTGGTTGCTATTTCACCACCAGGCATAGCTAGGAGTCACAGTGAGGTTCTTTGTCCTCTATTTTATAAGTGCAACAAGAACAGATCAGCAGAATGTGAATATTATGACACAGACTGAGAATTTTGCAGCTTATGACTCTTCACAGAATTCACAAATAATAATACCTATTAGAGCAACGTACTGGGCATTCTGTGCTAAGCACTGAATGTATGTATAAAAAAATCTCATGTAATCCTTACATCAGCCTGGTGACGCAGATTCTATTCTCCCTGTTATAAAGATGAGAAAGTCATGGCTCAGAGGGGTCGAGGAGCCCACAGCTACGTGGCTGATCACTGCAGACCCGGGCCTCAAACTGGCCCTCGTGCTAGAGCATTATGCCACTCTGCACCCCAATTCAAATTCAATCCCGGGAAGAAATCCAGCCATCACTGGGATGACTGGGGACTTTGGGAGGATTGGGGGATTTTTTTTTTTCCCCACTGAATTATCTGGATTTGGGAAAGCTATGGGATTTTGAGTAGGTATTTGTTATCAAATCAACACATCCATAAGGCATTTTAAACTTTTCTTACACTCTCTAGAAATTAGGTATTTTGCTCAATTTCATTAAGCCTGGCTCTAAGCAGCTCCACCCCGCCTTAAAGCAAGCCCCCCTCGGAATACATGGAACCAGAGCACCATTAGTCAGTAATCTCGGCTACACGATAATGACGCCCTGGTGGCCTCTAGAATTGCCTGCAGCTTCCAAAAGTGCCTGGCAGGCAACCAGAAAGCGCCCGGGCCCCTTGGAGAACCCGGCTCCACGGAAATCCTTGGAAGTGACTGCCTTTAGTGGAGCTGTTATGTAACCGCGGAGCATTCCTTGATTTTACTGTTGCACACAGAGTGTATTTGTGACCTGTGTGATGCACTCGTGGGGGACAGGTGTGTGCTTGCGTGTGCCGTCTTGTCCCCTCGAGGGAGGGAGTCATGGGGAGGGGTAGTGCACGCTTGCCCGTAACTGAACAAGGGAGAAAGAAAACGCCGCAGGTACTTGATCGAGTTTTTTTTTTTCCTTAACAAAATTAACCCCAAGGATCACTTTCCAGCGGAAGCAGCGAATTTATATTGACTTGGATATAGAGGAGAGAAAGAAGACAGCCCCCTGTTCCGGTGCAGGGAGGGGCGGGGCACGTCTGCCGCTTCCCTGAAGGAAAGAGCACCTGGGGTGGTTTAGTACCTGTGTCATTCTTGCCTGGGGACTTGCCTCTCTGGGCTTCAGGCGCTCCACATATAAAACACACACAACATCAATTGCCCACGTCACAGGGCTGTTGGGGGTCAGTGGACAGGGTAACATGGGCAAAGCTCTCATGTGAGCTCTTTGCAAACAGACATGGTCATGACGTCATCCAGTTTAGCGCAGCATTTGGGAGCATGGACATGACAGCCGGACCCCTTGGGTTTCAATCCTGGCTCTGCCCCATAGGGGAACATGCCGGGTTTCGTGGCCTCCCTGTGGCTGTGCTTCCGATCTGGAGAGGAACAAACTAATGAATCGATTGAAGCACTTAGAACCGCGCCACAGGCGGACTGCTCCGGCCCCGCGTCCTGCGGGTCCAGACCGTGCGGGGAGACAAGGAAGGAGGCGGCCAAGCAGCCAAGCCCTCAGGCCACCAGCCAGCTTCGAATCCCAGGGCTGCAGGAGGGGAAGCTGTGCGCCAGGGATGGGGCTGCGAGTGGAGTCGGAGAATAAGAAACATAAGAACCCATTAAACAGACTAAGTGGAGTCCAGCATGAGTGGAAAGAAGGGGACAGTGAAGAAGGGAGCATTTCTGCGGAGATCAGGTCTCAGGGTCCCTAGTGAGGCCTGCTGCCAGGGGCCTCTGTGCGCTGACTTCTCTTTGTTCCCCAGGGCCTCTACCCGCTGCCCTTGCTCAACAGCGCCGCCCTGGACGACGGCAAGGCCACCCTGACCCCTTCCAACACACCGTTGGGGCGCAACCTCTCGACTCACCAGACCTACCCAGTGGTGGCAGGTACGATGCCTGAAATGTCCTGGGCCGCGTGGCCCCAGCTGCACAGAGGGGCTGGAAGGCAGGGCGTGGCTGGCCCTGCGGAGGAGGGCGCTAGGGCCCGGGGCCTGCAAAGGAGAGGTGGGCTGGGCCGGTTGGGCCTCCAGGTAGGTCCAGAGGGTCCCGCCTTGTAGTAGCCCAGGGCCTTCTCGGCGCCTCCTCGCTCCCCCACCGCCGCGGGGGAGGGGAGGGGGCACACACTGTTCTTCCGCACGCGCAGAGGCACAGCAGGGAGGCAGAGCTTCTCTCCCCCCCTTCCCTTCCCTCACTCACCCTGAGGACCCCGCGCAGCCCCTCCCGCCGCCCCCAGACTCAGAGAGGAGCCGCCTGCCCCAGCGCCCCGCCCGCCCCCCCCCCCCACATCTCATGGCTGGGTTCGTGCATGTGCCCACCCCATCATCTCACACCCCTCTCTCCTTGTTGTCTCCCTCCCTCCGGCAGATCCTCATTCACCCTTCGCCATAAAGCAGGAAACCCCCGAGGTGTCCAGTTCTAGCTCCACCCCTTCCTCTTTATCTAGCTCCGCCTTTTTGGATCTGCAGCAAGTCGGCTCCGGGGTCCCAGCCGGTGCCTCGGTCCCGCCCTTCAATGCCTTTCCCCATGCTGCCTCCGTGTACGGGCAGTTCACGGGCCAGGCGCTCCTCTCAGGTACGACAGGGAGGTCCCGGGCAGCTCTCGCGGGGGGCGGGAGGGGGTCCTCAGGGCCGGCCACCAGCCCCCTGCTTTGGGGACCAGGCCCCTCTCTGGCCCTCAGTCCTGTCCACCATCACTCTATTCCCTCAATCTTCCTGCAACTTTTGGACGTGCCGAGATGTGGTGCTCCGTGCGGGCAAAGTCAGGCCGTGGGAGGGGCAGGCACTGTGGGGATGCCAGGAAGAGGGGTGCCTGGCTGATTTCTGGAACCTTGCCCCAAAGCCCCATGGACCAGCAGGGACCTTGAGGTCAGGAGCTGGGCAGTATAAAGCAGTGAGCCCTTGATCTGGGTGAGAAATAAAAAAGAACTTTGGAGGGCAAAAAGTCATTGGCTTTTGTAGCCAATTTCTGGATCAAATTTCTAAAGAAAACAGGGTCCATCCCCATTGGGTCTCCATAGTGTAGCTCTCCTTGTACCCAGCTTAACAGGGTCACCCTTGGAAAACAGTGAAGCAGAGTAACTCACCAACTGGAGAGATGGGAGAACAAGGGGACCTCCCATCAGGAACCTCCTTGGCCTCAAAACATTTAAAGCTGGAAGCACTCAGGAGCATCTAGAGCAAATCTCTCCTTATACTGATGGGAAACAGCCCCGGGAAGGAGAAGGGCCTGGTCAAGGTCCCTGAATAGGCATGTGGTGTCTGGCAGAGTGAGGGCTCAGCCTGCGTGCACCCCGAGTTACAAATCAAACTGGGTCTCCCTGGCAGAAGGACATCAGCCCATCCAGCCAGGACCTGGGCAGCAGCCGAAAGAGTCAGGGTGTCTGGCTTGGGCAGAAGGCCTGAAGTGGAGTGAGCAAAGGGAGCAGAGACCCATAATCGTCTTCAGATACCTGACGGGCTTCTTCAGAAATGGGACTATTTTAGATGTGGGCCCAAGGCATTGAACTAAAACCCATGGAGGAAGCCAGAAGTGAGCCAGCCCTTCTGGACCAGTGGTTTTCAACTTGCTGGGCCTCAAAACACTCTCTTGAAATGACAGCTTTTATAGAAGCCAGGTATCCAGACCAGACAAATGAAGAGCTACTCTGTTTAAAGTAGGGACTCTGCCCCCTAAAAGCCCTTGGACTTGAAAACCACCAAACCAGAAGAACAAGACCTCTACCTGCTCAGAGGGACCGCAGGGTTGTCTTATTCAAGTTCACGGACCCTGTCTTATAACTGACTCTACATTTTCTGACTGGCAGGCACCTGGGATTTTTATTCTCTGTGCATCCCCACATCTAATGTGGGAGGTCCTCTTGGAAGAGGTGGGCACAGAGGTAAAGGGTTAACAAAGGAAGTCCAGCGTGTGGGCAGAGAGGCAGTGTTTTTCGGGGTGTGGAGCAAGGAAGCTAATGTTGACTCAGAGTTCAAAATTTCAAAAGCGGGTGAAGTCAGCAGAGATGGGTCATTTGTTTTGACCAAAGTGATTAAAGGAGAAAAATCTGCGAGCTGAGTGGAATGATGTCAGCCAGAGAAAATGGGATGGGGCGGGG